TGTGATGGTCTTATCAACTAACTCATTCGGTCGTATAATTTGGGTGTATGCAAATGTGTACTTAACGCTCAACAACGGCAACCACACGCAGATGGGCATACACACCCTTTTTTTTCCTCTGTCAGCACGCCCACACACACACACACACACACACACACACACACACACACACACACACACACACACACACACACACACACACACACACACACACACGCACGCACGCACGCTCGCACACACACACATCCCTCCCCCACAGCCCTTCCACAACCCCCTCTCCCCTCCCACCCCCTCACCGCCAACACAAGCGAGCTAATTAACACACAGAACACAAACAGGAGGGCGGGAAAATTTCTTTGCAAGGTGAGCCTCCGACCTTCAATTCAATAAAAATGAGATAGAGTATAAGAAACGAGGATCAATAATAAAAAAGGGGAAGGAGGGATATGGGGTGAGTGGTGAGTGAGTGAGTGAGTGGGTGGATGAGTTAGTGAGTGAGTGAGTGAGTGAGTGAGTGAGTGAGTGGGTGAGTGAGTGAGTGCGTGAGAGTGATTGAGTGAGTGAGTGAGTGAGTGAGTGGGTGAGTGAGTGAGTGAGTGAGTGCGTGAGAGTGATGAGTGAGTGAGTGAGTGAGTGAGTGAGTGAGTGAGTGACTGAATGAGTGAGTAAGTAAGTGAGTGAGTGAGCGAGCGAGAGACTGAGTAGACAAAAAAGAGAGAAAAGAAAAAGCTACACCATAACACAAATAAAAACAGAATAGAAAATAACAGGATATTACCAAACCACCCGCAAAATTCAAAGCCCGAATGCAAAACTGCAATATCCACTTGCCATCCCCGCCCACCCCCGCATTACACAACCCCCGTATCGTCGCAGACTGATTCGCTTACAAGATCTGGACGCTGTTGCCAACGCGAGCTCCCTCCTGAAGGCCTGAGTCAGGGGAATTCTGCACCCAAGTGCCAATGACAGTCACATGGGCGCGCGCTCGCGCGTAAGCATATATATATACAATTGTGTGTGTGTATGTGTGTGTGTGTGTGTGTGTGTGTGTGTGTGTGTGTGTGTGTGTGTGTGTGTGTGTGTGTGTGTGTGTGTGTGGTGTGTGTGTGTGTGTGTGTGTGTGTGTGTCGTTGTCGTCATCGTCGTAGCCCTCTTCCATATTTTCCATATCATTCTCATTCTCTCCCTTTCTCCTCTTTCTTCCTCGATTTCCCATTCTATCCTTTCCATCCATTTAAACCCAAACAAAGAACGAGTGCACAAACATCCACTTCATACATTGAAAACTGGCACAGAAAAGGACATGATACATGATACATTCATATAAGACGGGCATATTTACATTTTATTTCTAGACGTTTGTCATGTTATTATTTAGAGAAAAAAATCGACAGTACGTCGCATGAAATTAACAGGGTAAACATAAATGAAATACAACGGAATACCGTAGATTCATGTAGCTAACGTTTTAACATCAAATGAACGGTACATTTCCTGCTTCAGTTTCACCCACAAACGAATCTCTCGAATCCTGTTCTCAAAGTGATTCGAAACACCAAATCTAACCTCGCTCAATTCAGTTGCACATTCCACGAGTTTCGAAAAGGGCGTTTCGAACAGGGTAGCGAATCGAAGCTCCCACGCGACAGCCGTTCTTTCCAGGAAAATCTGGTGTTGTGAGTGTTTGGCTTGTGTGTGTTATTCGGACTGTGAATGTGGGGCGGGGAAGGGAAGTGCAAGGAAAGGGTTAAAAGGTGAAGTTAAAGATTGGCACAATGAACGGACTCGAGTATTTGTGTATGGTTTTTATCACTCACCTATTCCCCATACATGTACGCACACGCATATGCTCACAAACACACACACACGCATATACTCACAAACATACACACGCATATACTCACAAACACACACACACACACACACATGCACGCATACACGCATAAATACATACACACACACACACAAAGCGATTAATTACATTCCATATTACCAACTTATCCTTTAGGCCTACAAATATGGCCACAGGCATAGCCCCCTACCCCCACCTTCGCTCCTGAGTCACCCCTTCCTTAGTCACGCAAACAATACTATCAGTATGTCCAAACAAACAAACTATCGGTATGTACAAACAAACAAACATTCATACAAATATTGCATTTCGTTCATACAAACAAATTAGTAAATGTATTAATGAGATGATGATAAACAACAAAGACAAAAACACTAATACTGATATAACTACTATAATACTGAAAATGATGATGACAAAAAATAATAACAATAACAATAACAACAATAATAATACCAATATTAACAATAACATCAAAATATCATAAATTTACACATGTTTGCAACGGAACCCTTAATTATCATGCTACTGACAAAAGCCATGACACCCAACTGGCATAGTTACAAACACCCAAATTTAGTCGTTATATAAGCCGCCTTCCCTGACACACTGCGCATTACGGTTTTATCCGAAGAAACAGAAAAAATATACCAGTTGGACCTGCCTATCTAACGGTCGTATGCTTAAAGAAATTGTGGAATCCACTCTTTAAAGTACAAAAACCTCTATTATGGAGTAATATCGAAAAAAAATCAATTGATACACCGAAATAAGGCAACAGGATAAGAACATTGTATTTCTGTAACTGACAGTCCTAAAATTACATTAAGACTTATAATCGCGAAGATTCTGGCATACCAAAATTGTGTCAAGAATGGATGTGCGTTACACATTTTCTTGAAGCATACGGCCATAACAGTTAGTTTATAATGGTTCTGTTCAGTAGTTCATTGTAATAGTGGTAATACCTGTGTATACTCGCTTTAGGGTGAATATCGTTAGTAATACTACGACGTAATTGTTTATGTTATTTTTATTTTTGGGATTACGCCTGTAAGTATGAATACTTTTTTTTTTATCACTGCCACCACTGTTATTGCACATTCTGATTTTGTATCACTGGTACTACAGCCGTGACTAGTTGCAACTAGTTTCATTTATAATACCAAGTCTACTACCACTACTACTACTACTACTTCTACCACTACTGCTGCTGCTGCTGCTGCTGCTGCTGCTGCTGCTGCTGCTGCTACTACTACTACTACTACTAACTACTACTACTACTACTACTACTACTGCTGCTACTGCTGCTGCTGCTGCTGCTACTGCTACTGCTACTGCTACTGCTACTGCTGCTGCTGCTGCTGCTGCTGCTGCTGCTACTACTACTGCTGCTGCTGCTAATACAATATATTACTCCTACTACTAATAATAACAATAATAATAGCAATAACAATAATAAAAAGAATAATACAACTACTACTAGCAATAAAAATAATAACAAAATATTACATTTCATAATAATAATAACAATAATAATACAACTACTACAACTGCTACTATTACTTACAGTACCACTACTACTGCAACTACAACTATCCCGATCGGTCACTACAAAATATCCTACAACTATCATCACAACCTCGTGCACAAGACAATAATAAATACACTTTTGAAACCATCATTATAAATTATATACTCGGGGGAAAATATGGCCCGACCATATTTCATGACTTTTATCCACCTGTTCCATAAGGCTCAATTTCATCTGCATTCTTTCGTGTATATCATTTTAAGAAATAGAAATTTATTTCATTTCTCTCTCTTCTTTTTCTTTCGTTCCCCCTCCCCCCCGTTTCCTCTTTTCTTTTTTCTCCTCTGCTTTCTCTCTTCTTCTTCTTCTACCTACTCCTCTTTGCCGCTTTTCCCCTTTTCATTTCCTCCTTTTACCTTCTGCTTTTTCTGCTTTCTCTTTCCCCTATTCCCTTTCTTCCTATTTCCATCCATCTCTTTCACCATTACTAACTCCTTTCCCTCTCCCTCATCGTTTCTCCTTGTTTCCTCTTCCTCCAACTTCCTCTCCCCACTCTTCCTTCTCTGTATTTTCTCTTTCCACGCATTCCCCCCTTATCCTTCTCTCTTTTCCTTCCCTCATTATTCTGCTATTTTCGGTGTCCTCTTCCCCGTCTCCTGTCTCTTCTCATCCTTCTTTTCCCTCTACTTTAGCTTTATTTTCCCTCCTTTCTTCCCCTTTACCGTCTCTTCCTTTTCCCACTTTTATCTCTTTTCTCCTCTGCCTCCCCCACCCCCACTTACCTTCCCCATCCCTCTTCCTTTTTTACCTCCTCCTTTCCTCCCTTTTCCTTTTCCTCAATCTTTTACCTTCGGGCATCATCCCTCTCCTCTCTCTTCCCTTTTCTCTCTACGTTCTCCTATCCCCTTCTTCCCGCCACTTTTCCCCCCCCCCGTACCGCCCAACTTCCCATAATCTGACGGGCGGTGCCAAAATAATGTCAACCCAACCAGGCGCCCACGAGAGGTCATTCTCCTGCTTATGGAATGCATGTTAATCGTCCTTATGGTCCTTTTATATGGTAGCCATTCCACACTGGCGCCAAGATTTTTTCTTCTTTCATGAAATATATATATCTAAGAATGTCTGGGAAGGAAGGATGATAAAGAAAGAAAGAGAGAGCAATATATATATATATATATATATATATATATATTATATATATATATATATATATATATATATATATATATATATATATATATATATATATATGAGAGAGAGAGAGAGAGAGAGAGAGAGAGAGAGAGAGAGAGAGAGAGAGAGAGAGAGAGAGAGAGAGAGAGAGAGAGAGAGAGAGAAGAGAGAGAGAGAGAGAGAGAGAGAGAGAGAGAGAGCGAGAGAGAGAAGAAAAAGAGAAAAAAAGAATAAGGAAAAGAGAGGAAAGGAGAGGGAGAGGGAAAGAGAGAAGAAGATGAAACAGGAGAGAGAGAAAGATGAAAAGATGAAGGACATGATGGCTATATTTTTTTCCTATCTCTTTTCTTTTCTTTTTTAATTCAAGGAGACGTCAAACGAGGCTGGAATCCGCCGTGTCATAATAGTTATGCGGGCGGCTGGTGTGTCTGTCTG